TCATTTAACTTGCTATGCATTTAATACGTAATGGCTGACAAAGAATGTTTGATGCCTGTTAATTCTCCATTATTTTGGTTTATTTTAACAACTAGCTTTCGCCCGCGACTCGTACTCGTGGAATTTTAATAAAAGTAAGTAGCCTATGTGTTCTTTCTACTATCTTCCACGTCTATGACAAAATTCATCGATGTGTCCAGTCGTTTAGGCTACAAACTCTAACAAACATCCATCCATCTAAACTTTCACATTTATAATATTAGTAAAATAATGCTCTAGTATTTTACTGAGCCTTTTATGTTATTTTTGACAGCAAAGTATTCAAGATTAACTATATTCAAATCAAAAGTAAAATTATTTAAAATGCAAATTAATTTTATAGCCCTTGTTTTTTGCTTTATAATAAAAAAAACTACTCTCATTTGTTATGGCGTTATAGTTCTCATTTTAACAGCGTTATCAAATAAGCTTAGATATCTATATTAATCTATATTGCGGCAACAGCACCATTGTAAAATAACTATAGATTGTTTAAAATTGATATTCATTTTATCGGTGCAATGTTTGCAATTAATTACAACAATCAATAATTTCGCGCTCCGTCGAGCGAAAACTACAACACGGTCTGGCCGGCAACAGATAACGGCCATCACTGACGCCCTTATAATATCCTATCGCGTATTTTGGCTATTCGAACCAAAACCCATATCATCATAATGCAAAACATTGTGTACTATTGCAAAGAGAAATCGTGATTAAACCTATTCAAATATTTCCATTCAAAATTTACATCGCGCACGTAGTATCGTGTCCTATTACAAGAAAAAATATGTTAAACGTTATGAAAGTAACTTGCATATAAGTGGCGTAAACTGTATCTTATGGACATTTTCACCAACCATCCAACATGGGCGAGGCTTAGCTAAGAACTTCACTTGCTGCAGATCTTAGATTCGAATCTCGCTATGTAACAGTGTGTTTTAAGATTCCCTTATTACATATGTATTTTTGACCGCTTTCCCAAAAAAAGGAGGTACTCAATTCTTCTGTATGTTTTTTTTGGAAAACATCATGATGGAACATGAACATATCTGCGTTGTTATTCAAAGATATGTGTGAAGTCAACCAACATAAAGCGGGCCAGCGTGGTTGACTATCGCCTAGCCACCCACAGCTTAGGATATGTTCCAAGTCCTTCGGGAACCTATAGTGACATAATGATTTCTTAATTTACGGGTCCCAGAAGCATTTGTAACCCTAGTAAGAATTTAACTTTACTAACGCTTAGAAATAGTGCGGGATTGCAGCACGTCGCAAAAGACAGAGATGACTGGTCAAAGTTGGGGGAAGCTTTCACCCATCAGGAATGCAAAAATATGAAATAAAAATAAAACAATATTGTTTGGAATACATATAAAACTAAATAAATGAACGTTTATGAATCGGTCATTTTTAGGTAACAAGAAAATGTTATAAATCGTAATGGTCAAGGGGACGATCATCGAGATCACGAGTACTTTCAGGACGAGAGAGAATACAGAACTTATCTGCTAATAATCTTTTATTAAATAGTCATTGAAGAAAAAAGTTATTGTTTATATAAATATTTTTAAATGTAATTTATAATAAACTAGCTGTTCCCATGCAGCTTCATCCGAAGGTATTTATAAAAACTTCATTCATTGTTTACATTTGTCAATTTATCAATTGAAAATGTCAAAATGACATGGCATGATGACAACCTTGCTTACTTGATGTTGTCAGCAACTTATGGTCTCTTTCCCACATTAGGGTTTTTATCCAAAATATTTACCCACTAAGTTTAATGGCGTTAAAATATATAGCCTAAAGCGTGACGCAAGTGTAGGGCTTTTTAAAAAATACAATTATTCAAAAATATGCTGCAATTGTTGATATCTTAGGCAACAAAGAAGTGTGTTTACGCTTAATTATAATAGTATAGATGATAACTGAGTGTAGGTTTGTGCATCGAGCTGTACTATAAATCAGCGGCAGTACGTCACTAATCCTCATTAATTACTACGCAATTTTAAATCTCATTATTGTCCAAATCGGTCTGGCATCGATTTTTCTCGATGTGTGCAGATGCCGGGTGGCTCGCATATATTATCGTCGGTACGTACTCAGGTGACATGTACGGTGACCATACCGTACTCATTTAAAATGAGTAATTGTTAAATAAAATAATTGTACTCTTACTGCTTTGAGTTACGTTAAGTGGTTATTTTTATTAGATTATTAAAAACTAACTCTGTAAAAACGTACATATTGTTAGACAAAAATCTATTTATCGTTTTTTATAAATCAGCAAACAAATATTAAAGTCAAATATTATCGTACTTTCATAGTGTTATTTAAAATTCGAATTATTGAACTTTAGAATTTGCCAACCTGAAATTATCATTTCAATCCGATTACTAAATAATTAAAAAGTATTTCAATATTTTTATCCTTGTTTTAAGACATTTTTTAAAAAACTATGGTCACCCTATGGCACAGTAGGCGTACGTCGGTGTGTCCATCGTATCGCATTGGCGCAAATTAATGAGGGTGGGATATTTATTTCAGGGTTTCGTTTGCCGATGCCAGCCAAAATATCAATTCACCTCTCGATCCACGTACGTATAAGTAGCCGTAGTGATTCAGATATGCAAATGCTCGCGGGGCGTCACAGTAATGATCTCATTAAGCTTGTAGTACAGCGCTACCGGAGTTGAGGTTGATAACGGTCCAGCTATTTTCATGCTCGACAAAGGTTAAGCTTAATAGGCTTGGCCAGTTTCACTACTGATATTTATAGATTCAATTATCTGATATAAAAATGTATCTAATCTATACTTTTATACTATCTGTACTATTATAACAAAGAAGTGTTTGTTTAACACTTCTTTGTTGCGTAAGATTTCAGCAATTACAGCATGTTTTTGAATAATTCTTTTCTTAATAAAAAGCCCTGCACTTACGTCATGCTTTAGGCTAAATATTTTCACGCCGTGTAACTTAGGGGGTAAATATTTTGGATAAAATCCCTAATGTGGAAAAGAGACCATAAGTTGCTGCCAATATTAAGGAAGTAAGGTTGTCATCATGTCATGTCTCATTGACATTTGTCATCATCATCCACTTGCCCTTATCCTTTATGGAGGGTCGGCACAGTATGTGCTGCTCTTCCATACATCTCTATCGGTGACATTTGTAATTGATAATTTGACAAATGTAGACAACAAAATAAAGTTTTTATAATTCTACGCGAATGAAGCCGCACGGGAACAGCTATTTATTCATAAATGCCATCTTCAAAACTTTTTAACTTCCCTAAAGCCTAACTAGCTTTCGCCCTCAGTCCGCGTGGGACTACGAAAAAAAAAATAAAAGTAAGTAGCATGTGTTCTTCCAGACTATCCTCCACTTTTATACCAAATTTCATCTAAATCCGTTCAGTCGTTTAGGCTACAAACTCTAACAAACATCCATCCATCCATCTAAACTTTCGCACTTATAATATTAGTAAGAAGTTTTATTTTCAGGCTTATATTGAATTTTGTTGTTGTGGACATATTCCTTCGTGACCTATAAATAATTAATAACCTAAATTTCCGTTATAAGATCCTACTTTCAGTCTCATAATAGTTTTAAATATTTCAAAGCAATTACCCTAAAAAAATAGTTCCCTCAATTCGAAGCGTGTTAGTAGAGGAATTCGAAACATAGTAGCATCAAAATAGTTAAAACGGCAGCTGTTTGATTAATGGTTGAAAAAAAAACAAACAGTACGCATTTAGAGTTTTATTTTATAAAATTAATTCCGCTACAAACAAACATAAATGGTTTTAACGACAAGCGGAAATCACAAATCAATTGCTACGCAACTTAAATTAATGGCTTTTAGAACATTGTAACATTTTAGTATTGCACTTGATTTTATTCAACGAATAATTTGATAAAGAAAACTATAAATTACTTTATTCATATTGAAATAAACACATGCATTTGATAGACATAATTTTATATATTCACAACCATTTTTCATTCAAAACTAAGAAATTTACGATTCCATTATTAACTCTTTCTCGTTATTAATAAAAGGTTATTATTATTAATTTTAATGTCCTGAATGAAACAAATAATCTTTTAATAAATTCGCCAAAACAGCTAAGAAAGAAGATTTTTATTACAAAATATGCTATGAATTTAATGAAACTCAAGAAACTCATGGAAAAAGATATTAACAGTAAAAAAGTAACGTAATTATTAGCAATATCGTAAATTCTTAGTTTATTTTAAAGGTTTGATGTTTCGTTTATGAAAAAATATAGGACTTTATTAAACTGCAAAAAGAAAAAAGCACGTATAAGAAAAATTAATAAACGTTTCTTTAGCGCCTTGAGGTAATCAATAAATATCTACAAATGGACAGATCTCGTATAATCAACACGTATCTTAACGGTGAGTTTCCATTGTCGTAACACATGTATCAGAATAGTATTGCTATCGCTTTCATTCTCTTTGAAAAAGACAGAGACAGCAATGTTCTTATACAGGTATCACGACGAATTTTACAATACAGTATACATCTACTCAACTTTATAATTACAATACTATTGCACTTTACAAAATGCATTTACAACAACTTAGTATATTTACAATTGGTTTATTTTACATTTTTAAAACAACGAAAGCATGAAAATTAATGTATGTTACATCATTTTTATAAATCATCCCATTTGTCTGTTGTCTAAAGTTTATTTAGCTGTCTAGACAAATTGTTAAGTGTCGGATTAGTACTATTGATTTGATGGCTGTATTTATTTTAGTACATTGGAATTTTGAATATTGGACAAAGTTAATCACAATTATAAATTAAGCAGAGTTTAAAAAGCCTAATATCTCACAAATATCTCAAAACAGTGTTTGATAATTATCATGTTTTAAAAATAATTGTCCCTATTCAGCCAAAATCGTATAATTTATAGGACGGGAACAAATTCTTTTAAAAAAAAATTGACAAAATTTCAACTATTTCAAGTTCTTTTAACAATATCTTACATTTTACATGTATAATTTTTATATCTATTTCGTTGCACTAGGCCTAATCGAAATAAGTTTTATTTCAAACAAAAGTAATTATCACGTTTTCAATTAACAAATAAAAATTGTGTAAAACATACAACGTCATTACAAAGTTCTAAACTACGGCAATGAGGTAATATTCTACAATTAGTGCCAGGTTTTGTTAAGTTATAATTTGCACACTAAATGTTTCAATATGGCCGCCAAACTGTGTTACTATCGGGCTGAGGATTGCCGCGTTGTCCGAGGCTATTCACTCTACCGTCTTCGCCTCTAGAAGCTGCCGCAGCACAAGAGTTCCCGCCGCCCAGTAACAACTCTCCTTGTCCATGATTACCGTGTTGTCTGTGATTATTCGTCGTCGAAGATATCTGATCCATCATCGTTTGTAATTCGTTATGATGATTTTGTGTAGAATGTATCGAATTCGAGTGTAACGAGTGAAAATTATGCGTCTGATTCGCTGCCGTGTATAGTTGGCTGTAAAGTAGACTCGCAGGTAGAACCGGGTATAAGGAATTGTTGCAATTCCCACCACCATATGAGTTCTGTGAACCCATTAGCGTAGGGAAGTTGGAACTGTTCGTGTGGTTGTGGCCGATGTTTGTGGTGGTGTTGGAGGTGAGTAGATCGTCTTGGACTGGCGATTCGGGCTGCGAACTGTTGTCGCTAAGCGAGCGCGGCCCCGTAGATAGGCCGTAGTCCGCGTTGTTGTTGTACCGGGGTAACAAACTGCCGTGGTGCGAGGGCGAAGAGCCCACCAGCCCCGATAGTTGTTGGTCCAAATCCACGCCTGTCGTATCCGGAAGTACTGCACAAATAAGAACTACTATTATATAAAATTACAAGTTGTTATAATCAGATTTATTAAATACAAAAGTTATTTGTCAATTTCAATTCTTGGCTTGTTGTGGAAACGTTTCGGTAGCTAAGACAGCGTGACAATATATCTCGGGATTGTGCGTGTTAGCATAGTTTTAATAGAGCGCTATATTTTTTCGTGTCGCTTGTCCGGGACAGGCACGCATCGGCAATAAATTCATCGTCCGGATCGGTCGCGTCCGAGCCGTAGTAAATTATAATGAGAGGCGGTTTAATGCGCGCTGCCCAGCGCTGGCCATACGATTTTAAGGAGGATGTCGCTCGTAAACCATGTTGGTGCATTTAATTTCACCATTCTGGTGTAATGAATTATAGTCTTCCTACAGAATTAAATTTTATAAGCGTTGAAGCAAGAAAACAACATGTATTTGATAATTAGACACAACAAAGTATCATATATCCTTGATCAATTTTGTTATCCAGTCATCAAAATAGGTAAAAAAATGGAGAAGAACACGTTAAAGCAATCGACTTGATTTTAAGGTACTAGAGCTATCCAAGTTTCCCCGCTACAGAAATATCAGTTGTACATGGGTTGCCAGGCTATCTTTTTGACTGAAGAAAGTTGACAAATGTATAAAACTGATAGATGCAATAGATGATACACGTTATAAAGTAAAACTTAAATATTTTACCTGTATTATTAGTTCCGAAGTCCTGGTTTGGCGTCTGGTCGGGCACGGTGCCGGCAAAGCCGAGGGCGGGCGGGTTGAACTGCGTACCGCCGGGCGCGGCGCACGACGGCAAGTACGCTGGGTACGCACCCGCGCCGCCGTAACCCCAGTGCGAGTTACTTGAACTCAGCCCGAACTGACTCATATCTAAAAAGTTAGCTTCGTTTAGTATACTTGTTGCAGATTTCTAGTGCTTATTCACTTTATGTTTTCGATTTACTATAATCTTTACTGGGATGAGGGATGATAGAGTTATGTGGAGCACGAACACCTATGGGCCGATGGGCAAGACCACAAAAACTACTTTACAGTTTCCCGTGGGTACTGGATTAGGTTAAAAATAGAGATTAGGATAAATTTACTGCAATTATTAACAAACATATTTCCACTGAACGTATGCATCGGTTATCGTTCTGTCAGAATCTTTGAGGGAACGGGAAATTCGAAAGCAAGACCACAAAAACTGTAAAGCAATTTCTCGTACTTATTAATCGCTGTACAAAAATTGTATCAATGAAAAACATTTGCAGGCGCGGTATCGAGCGCTGCGAGCGGCGCTATAAAGATATCGAGAGCCGGTCAGCTCGCTGCCGAGAGCCATCCGCACGTTCCGTCCACTTTATTTTTTTCCAGGAGTATTACGGGCTTTTATTTTTCGGTATCACGGTTCCGTTTTTGGCCGGCGATCGGTGGAGTCGGTTTTTATACGATACGCGGCGCGTGGCGCGTGGCCATGGCGCGTCGATTTGTGAATGTTTTTTTCACGTTTCGAGTTGTTTTGGTGCGACGGGGATTTCGGCGGGCGGCCGCGCTTGTTCCATTGCGCTCGCGTACGCCCTTTTTGTTGGACTGATTGAATCTGCGCTTTAGTGAACGTAGTTTAGCGTATCGCAGTTTGGTGACTCATTCACTTTTGAACGATCACCGGCATTTATAAGGTATCGATGTCGAATACCGATTTCGATTTGGTTTTAGCACGTTACATGTTTTGTCATAAAACAGATTCTCTTTATATTCGTGGTTAACTAACTTCTGAATTATTTCTTCTGTATTCTATAAAACAAAGTTTTTGTTATACGTTTAGGAAATCTACTGTTTTATGAATTAGTTTATTAATTATTGTAATTTAGTAGTCGTTTCTTTGTAGTACACTAATATAGGAATCCGATATGTCACTTTTTATAATAAATAGTAATTGTTTCAATGGCAAAGTAGAAGTTGCATTTAGAAGACTAAATAACAAAATATTTGTACTTACTCTGGCATGAGGTGATGGGCGGCATTCGGAAGCCACCGAGCGGGTCTGGCGGGAAGGGGAAGGGCCGCTGTCCGAACGCGAAGTGGAACTGCTGCTGCTGCCCTAGGAGCGACAACACTACATCAGTACGATACAGGCTGCTCTCGACCGACACTACAGGCTTCTTAATACATTACAACTATAATACATTTTGATGTTTTTAAAACAAAATGGTAACAGACATTGTAAGTAATTCTACGTCCCAATAACATTTGTGAACTATTACGATTGGTAGAATGGTGGGATTCGGACCCTATACCGTAGTCTATAATACGGAGGCGCGTACACTCGATTTTTAGTAATTATAGTTGTGTAATTAAAGGATTGAATTTGCTGTTAGACAATCGACAATCACACAACAGTGCGATAGTTTAGTCAAAGTACACCTCAATCATAAAATCAAACGTTATATCTATTTGAATACAGCACATTATTTCTCATAAGCTACGCCCTCGTTGTTCCTAGACACTCGATAATTCATTGACACGTCACCCCGCTTCCCCTAAATTCTAGCACGTGTCGGAATCAGTATCGAAGAGCCGGTATGAAGTGAGCCCTGTAGATGTATAGAATTATTGATGCAGGCCTAGCTGTGCCCTTATTGAGTGTTCCGTGCAATTTTAATTAACAACGTCACTGACAAACGGTTTGTAGGTAATCAACATCGATATCACAAATTGAAGAACTGATCTTTGGAATCATGGCAAAGTTTTTATTAATAATATTACGTTAATTCACTTTTCTATTTTAGAGCGAGATTTTAAATCTGAACATCTCGGTTACTTAAACCTATATTTAAAGGACATTCTTGGCTCTCAATCAACGTGTTAATATTGCTAATTCGTTTCATTTAAGCAGCATTAAATTTAAAATGTGATTTGATCTACAAAAATTAAACTCAGGTGTCCCATTTCTCAAACAATTAAAATGTCTATTAAAAAATAAAAAAAAAAACGAAAGCAAACAACTAATTTATTTCAAACGTTGCTTTAATTATTATTAATGTCTTAGACAGTAAACATTTCAGCTTTCGCTACGTATATTCAAAAATAATTGACATAGCTGATTAAGTTCTCTGATGGGATCCCTAACTCCCGCGCGAGGGCAGACAGGTGGCGGGCGAGCACGGAATTATTCACGCGACCGGCGTGTCGCAGTCCTGTCGAACATCGATGCGATTTGGTAACAGAGAATATTCTCTTGTATACAATATTTATAACTATATCTTTACTTGATTCGTTAAAAGGTAAACGGTGTGTATTTAAAAGAAATTAGAAAAGAAATTGCAGATACAAGTTTTGAGTACATCACTTAATTTAACGTTAGAAAGTGAGAATGAGGTAATAGGGTAGATGATAGGATCCACCGTCTGTTTTCTAACTTATTTTGATTTAAATAGAAAGATAGAAAGCAAAATAAAATAGAAAACAGTCAACTTAGAAGAAGAAGCTTATAAACTTATCAAAATTTAAACGAATGATGTAAAAATAAAACAATGTTTAAGCCGCCCGTATCAAGAGATTTTAGGTTTAGTAACCCACGGCTCTAACAGCAAACTGGTTTACTATTGAATCGTTAATGAAGTTGATATTAAGTTTAATCTGGAGACAGAGGGCGCGGGAGTGCGGCATGCCGATTGGCAGTAATTGTCGCTTTCCGATTGCTGAATTATCGACGCTACACGCACGCATGCCAATGCCACGATACTCTCCACGCATATTTAATGTGTCCATATCATTACCAAAAAAATAGGATAAATTAGATTCTTTTATAAATTTAAAATTTGCATTTTATGCATTCATACATTTTCTTCTGAAATTTTAAAAATAATCCTATAAACAACTAAGATTCAATTTATATAACGGTAATATTGAAAGTACCTCTATAGTAGATTATTTGATTTATTGTAATATATTCGTTATTTAATAACAATTTACATAAACAGAAACCATAATGTTATAGCTTATGAATACAAATGTAACAATTATTGATTAAATTTAAAATAAAAAATATGAAACGGTCTGAGAAAAAGCCTTAAAGTTGGCCACCCCATTTAGGTAATAATTCAATCTTGTCACAAGTTCCGCTCGCACGGAGCACAGCGGCGGAACACAAGTGATGAAGTTTCTGTATTGACACTTTCACTTTTAAATGATTATTGAAAAGCCACGTATTTGATAAATACAAGACTAGAAACTAAACGAAAGATAAATAAAAGTAACTGAAAATATTTTACTCCGATATATAATTTGTTTATGAAAATTACCAAGCAGTTAAAATGGTAATACTTAGACAAGAAAAAATAATCGGTAATTTTAAGTATTACTAGAGCTATTGTTAATTAAGTAGCTTCGGTTTCAACATGTAATATAGCAAGCAATCAGTATGCCAATTCCACTTTGCGAGGGTAACCGAACAATATATTATGCGAACCAATAAGCTCTTCGATATTCGAAATGTCAAATTGACAAATGCAGATGCATCGGACTGAAAACAATTGAAAATGCCACGCACACATCGACACTAACACACACATGCCGGGACTACAAAAGCCTGCGAGTGTATAAATCAACGGCGCAACAATTACACACTTTCATGGCAAGTCGGAATTAGAAACTGTCATTTGCACCGTTCGAGGGGCTTCGAGTGGGGAGGTGGGGGGGAGTATGTTACAGATGGGAGGGAAAAATGGGGTGGAAAGGGCTACCGTGGACCTGATTAAAGGATTACGCTGAGGGTGGCGTCCGGTCTAGTTAGATTTATTATGCCAAGTATTTCAAATAGTTAGCCTTTACTATTTTATTTTCAACACTGGCTGAACGTGGCTGCGACGGCCAGACATTCTAATTGAATTTAAATTAAACATTCTCCGTATGTTTTTACTAAAATTTTGCCCAGTTCGCTTTATATTATCGAAAAATATTTCTCGTATAAAATTAAAAGCCGTTTTTAAGAATAGAAAGTTCAGATATTGAATATATTCAAAAAAACAATTGAATATCGTTAAAATTGTTAACTAAAGAGAAAAATAGCAGGAAGCATCGATTAAATGTACTTCACGAGACTTTAATTCGTTTGTAACTCGATCATTAGCAAACAAACAGTGAATGCAGTTACAAGACGCGGGTGGTCCAGCGAGCGTGCACTGGCGTACCGAAATAGCCAGACATCGCTGCCTTAAGAAAAACATCGTTAACAATCCGGCCGATTATTAAATTGGAGGCGGCTACTGTACGGCAAAGCTGTAAACCGAACCACCCACCCGACGGTAAAAATAGGAAGCGCAAGGAATGGACCGCGTTATGGTATCTTTATCTACATGCTATTTTAAATGAGCATTTAAAGGGTTAACACGCAATAAACAATGAACTTAGAAACAAATTCTATTTTGTGAATGTAATACCACCATATAAGAAAAAAGACCAATGCCTAGCGGCATGAAAGAATTTTTAAAAATGCATTCTTCTCCCATGAGAAAAATACTAACGTAATTTGATCGCATTACTAAATTTATATTTTTGCCACAACTGCCAAACAAATAAATAATATAAATGTTCGGGAAATCACTGGTCATTTAATTTCACTTAGGAAACTTTAAATCGGATACACGCGTACCGTTTGATAGATTCCGATCGCAAACTAAGCGCCGACACAAAGGACGGCCGATGAACATTGTAATGAACAACGCACCGAATTAACAGCTCCCGAACTAAGTCATTAACGCCCGTATACCGATGCTCCAGCTCGTATACGTACGGCGTAAACAGTCGTCGGAACTTACTAGAATTAAATAATTTATCGTCTCCGTATAGAGGCTGGCGGCATAATAAATCAATATGCAGGGCATGCATGCGAACGGGGTGGCAGAAACCCCTTCCCGCGCCACCGCACCCCGCAACCCTCGTGCCCTTTCTTGACTAATTAATTAAACAACCGATTCATTACAGCATCCTCCTTTGTGCCCTCACATTCGTCTACGGAGCTATCGGTACAGACAGCAGAAATGATTTTAAATGAGAATACACTATGTGTATTTTTATAATATAATTTCTATTAACGAAGAAAGGTAATCAAGCAAATAACTGGTTCAATTGATATTTAATAGAAAACCATCTTAATTTCATTCGAAGTACATGAGTTTGACTAATATAACTTTAAATTGTTATTGGTAATATTATATCCGATTAAATTATAAGCTGTTAAATAAATTAATAAAAAACATTTTTAACTCTTTAAAGTCTCCTCTATAATCTCAGATATTTTTGTAATTTTTTGAACTCTCAATCAATATTATTAGATTGGAATTATTTGCTGACTGTACACAACCCTTCAACGGCCTGGGTTCTAAAGGCCGACACTATCCCGGGCTCGCAATTATTTTAATTTCTTCCACGTGATGAGGATTGATCGAGCATTAGGTGTGATTTGGAGGAGCCAGTACACGCACCGTCATTTGTTCTCGTCAACCAACGTTCCTAGTATTTTCTCAAGTTGTGAACTTTTACTGGTTTATTTAATGTAAATCGAAACATTGTTTTCAAAGACTATTTTTATGTTAGATGCATTTCATTTTTTTAATATATTGTGTAGACTATGCAAAGCAGAATCCAATAAAAAAAATATTTTTAGTTATCTCTCTTTCAGTAAATAAAATGGTTTCCTTTTTAAATAAAGATCTAAATGGCGTCTAATTTCACGCTTCGAATTTATAAAATGAAAAATCTCGAAGCAACGGCCATTTTGAGAAATTATTAATAAATTACCTTCATTACGGAGCTTGTTTTCGAATGTTTTGCGGTCGTACTTGTTTGTTTTGGATCGCTTCCGACGTTTGTGTTTCACTTTACTGCTTTAGTTTTATTTGAAACCGCGATATTTTACAACGAAATTCATTAACTTTATACCCAAACTCGAAAATTGTTTAGAAATTGGAATTCATTAGACAAATGTATACACAAAATTTGAAACTAAAATTAGATTTTCAATTTAATTAGACATCTCGGTAAATAAACTTAGAAAACAGCGACGGAGCGTTTTATTATTTTTAAATGGTACAGATCAAGGTGATAATGGTTGAGCTAGCGATCTGGTGCCTGAATTTCTCGGTACAACCTGTAAAATACCATGACCACATTTGCAGATATGATAACGATAACTTCGCTATTTTGGCGAATTTAAACAGCTGCTTACTTGTTTGCAACCTTAAAAAACCTAAAGGTATACCGAACATCAATGTTTAATGCAAGAGAAACTAGAATCTTTTGCCAGTTTAAAAAAAGCTATCGTATTGTTTTGGAAATACCAAAAGATCCAAATATGTCTACACGAGAGTTTTGAAAGCGCATGCTGTACCGACCTTACACTATTGTATTCTCATCATTATTGATATGGAAATAAGTTCGTCTACATTAGACGTTTAACACTTGATTACACATTATTAGTCGTTTTACGGCCGAATACCAAAACGGTATATATGTATGTAACAGCGACTTAAATGTTAAGGCCTTGCTTAAACTCCGAATTCCTTCCTTTGACGTCTATTAGATTGAAAGCGGCACTTACGAAGCGAAGTATTTATGATTCGTTTCGGTATTTGGCCGTTAGTGTTATAATATACTAACTGGTCTTGGAGCGCGGCTCCCGTGGCCCATCCACCGTCACCTTGATGGCCTTATTGTACGTAGTGACTTGTGGCGGTGTCGTCGATACTGTTATTGTTAGCGTGAAGGATTTACCTGAAACAAGCAAATTAATTATTTAATTAACTATATTTAGTGTCATATTTATAGTCATTTTTCAAACAATTTACTATACTATCAGGTTATAGTCAACAAATCCAATATTAATACAATCAAACCGTAAAACCAATTCGTTGAAACTTTTATTTGGAATGACAGGCTATAAATTTCATCTGTGGTCGCAACTCTTTTCGTCGGGCGCCCACTTTTTGTAGTTCGATTTGATCACTTGTTCGAAAAGTTAAAAATTTATTGCCGGTTTGTTTTCAATTCGGCGTTCGATGAATTGTTCTGGTTTCAGTTTAGGTTACTAGTGCTTCCGTACTGAATGAATGCGTCCACGAGTTATTCGATTTTTACTTATCATGCTTGTAACGAATACAAATCATTCCGTACATTAATTTTGTTTCACAAAGGGATGACTGTTGTTATTGTGATTTCGTCGAATATTTCGTTTTTCAAACAAAATGAACACTTGAAAACGAAACAATCTCATTCGAGAGTGGATAGTATAAAACAGCAACTCATCCGCAACACGTCAGGGCGCGTCACAAACAACGGCGGGGCCACTTCATCACGGCATAACGCCGGCAATAAAAAAAACATTTCCATCTGCGGAAAAACCACAGTTAATATTAAATGACCGTCCGTCAAAGCTGTATTGTGGAGCGCTTTACTCGCTGCGGGATGCAGCCAATACCGATTTCGTGATTTTTCCATTTCCCCCATCTCCCGGCGCGGCGGGGGGAGACACGGCGGGGCGGAGGGGGGAGAGTGACATGTAAGCTTTAATGGAGCCTGAAGCGGGACGCCGCTGGCTACACGCGAAAAAAAACTGGGGAAAAACCTCATTCATACGTGATTTCATGTGTAGGCTACTTTCTGCGGGCTCGGTGCGCGGCTCGTTAAAAATGGACGGCGTACACGAGGCGGCTTGTTGCGGCCGCCGGACTTTATTAACCGGCCAACGGCGACCCCGGGGCCCCCAGTCTGACACTTATTCCCTTCAGACTGGAGTATATCACTGTTACTTTCACTTTAGGGGAATTATACACGAACTTTTTACAAAATTCCAGTTTCACATATCACAACTCGTTTAGATTGCAATATTCAAATTACAGAGTAAAAACATGTACACACAATTTCGGTTCGTGCGTCCTGAATCTTTAGTAATTTTAGCATTAACAATATTGATTGATGAAATACCTAGTTCATATTAACGCTAGTTTTTCAATGAATAAAGAATTATTAATAGTTATTTCGTCTCCAGCAATCGAATATCAGTGAACGAAAACAAATGGTTGTAGCGTCAGAAGACGGTAACGTTGAGTGATGTACCGTCGGCAGTCAGGGCCCGTACCAGCCGCGGCGCGCCACCGCCCGCGGACGTGCCGGCGTGTCGGCGTGCCGCGCCTAAATAAACAACCCCTACTTAATGCCCCGATACCATACCTCGCCGCACGATACCATCGCGCCGTTTTTACGAGCCGACAATATCCGCACTCACCAGACAAATGACTACAAGTCTTAAATCTAGTCGGATAATCCTTAATCAAACATAGCATGTTCACGTACTGAGTTATAATTGGGATCAAATTAATATTTACTCAAGTTTTGCTTCAAAATCCGGTCTCTCCCAGTGGATGCCTACGATGTAAGAAAGATAGGACTATTCATCAGTCTTAGAAGTTGGGTTCATTGAAACACAATTCTATGATATGTCAGGGCACCATATTTACTGTGTTATACCTGCTTTCTCAATTAAGCTTAGCAATTTCAAAGATTCGTATAAAAAGGACTGGCTTATCCCAGATTTTTTTCGACAATATTTATGGTAAACTTGGCTACCAACACGGCGTTATTATAAACCAAGCTTATGATAGTCCTAATAATTGACTAGCATGAACGAGTTACAGTTTCTTTACAATTGTTTTAACACCATCAATTAATTGATTAAATTAAATATGGAGTGCAGACATTAATATACGAAATATACATTTTGTATCTTTTCAACTAAAATTAAAGGAGTTGATATTAAAAAGTCCCACTAATAACTTGACTTGATGGAACTGAAGAACAAGTGTTTCTACTAATATCAATTAACAATATCATAGACTAGCTGTTCCCATGCGACTCCTTCCGCATGCAATTATGAAAACTTTATTTTATTGTTTACATTTGTCATATTAACAATTACAAATGTCAAAATGACATGACATGACGACAACTTTGTTCCCTTGATGTTGGCAGCAACTTATGGTCTCTTTCACCATTAGAGTTTTTATCCAAAATATTTACCCCCTAAGTTTAATGGCGTGAAAATATATAGCCTAAAGCGTGACATAAGTGCAGGGCTTTTTTTAAAGAAATAATTATTCAAAAATATGCTGTAATTGCTGACATCTTCGGCAACAAAGAAGTGTGTGTTTACGCTTCATTATAATAGTATAGATAGATAGATTAAATAATACAGAAGAACTCTGAACATTTCGTGGTCAAAAAGTGGATTCGAAATTCTTGGCTAAGGAACAATACTTTAAAACACAAACTTCCGAGAAAATGAGGAAGTTTAGAAATCACAAAAGTGAACCAAAGAAAAGCAATTACATAATTACATTAAAAATGAAATTGCCATACACACTTGTATAGCAATTAGAGACTGCAGTTAGCGAGTGAAGTGCGAGGAGTGTTCGGAGTCGCGCGGCGACAATAGTGTCGCCCCGACCAAACTCTAGTCATCCGGGACGATAGCGAAACATGGATATGACTTCAGGAATTTATATTTAACTTTAAGCAGTAAAAGTATTTTATTTAACATAAATATGAATTATAAATGAAAAGATTAGAAACAACTTTAGTAGTTGCTTATGCTTTTAAGTGTAATAAATGTCAATAACTTAATTGTATCAATTAACTAATCTGTTAGAATGATAGCATTAGTTAGTAGATTTGAATTTTGAACTTAAAAAAAAAATACTGTTACGAACATCATGTTGTCGAAAGGCTTGTTGCACTGCATTGAACGAAAAAAACATCAAGATGTGAAAATAAAACGTTTAATTTTCTAATTACATCAAAATATGAAAATAAAACATTTAATTTTCTAATAAAATATTTATCGCCTAAGGATCGTATCCACTTTATCCTTACGGATCTCGTTGTCGTACACGAAGTTCCCTAATAGCTGGATGCAATCCAATTTGACAGCTGTCAAATACACTCGTCGCCGTCAGTCGCGGCGATTACAGGCGCGTCGTCTCCCGCTGTAACGACGTGCTAATGCCCGCGCGCTAATTGACTGAATTAATATGCCGATGTTAGCTGAGGTGTCACCAACGGCATCGACAATGTAACACTCCTGATACATGATTGTATTCTGGAGATTAATAAGCATGTACATGTGACATCTCTCTAAACGATAGAGTAATAAGTCTTGACCACTTTTGTTATGTGATTTTTTAACATTTCAGTAATCATTGTAGTAGAATTTGCATATTGTAAAGTTACTTTTAATGTAAGAGAAGTTTATTTTATATTATAATAAACAAAAAGTCCAGGTCACAGGTTAGCCCCTTGTGCAGTTAGTCGATGGGGCCAAAAGTTGTAAAAAAATATATATATGATAAGTCATTTGAAATGAAATAAAAAAAAGGTTTACTTAAAAGTTATAGTATAAAGACTCTAACAGAAAACTAGCTTAAAGAATATGAACTGAGAAAGTAATGATATTAGGAAAACATTCGTAAAAATTTAATAAACGTGAAAATGAAAGATTTGAATAGTTGCGTGTGAAGTTTCGCAGGCGTTGATGAGATAATGTGCGTGCGGGCGCGCGACGCCGCAAAGCATAGTTACGCAAGTTGCGGCCCGGCTTAGTTAGCACAGCTACCCCCAAACCATAAATGAAATGGTAGTTTTCCATCGCGGCTAACCGGGTAACCGGTCGGCCGGTTAACCGGTCGGGTCGGCGGCCGGGTCTGCCGGTTAACCGGGCGCCGCCGGTCGCTGCGGCCGCGTTATGGTTGACAAGGGCCGGTTATGGCGGTTGCGTGAATGTGGCGGCAGCCTACACGATGTTTGCGTGTCGCCCCGACTAACGCCGAACAACTTTTAACGTCTTTCACACTTGACGTTCGGTAAATCATATTTTTACGTTCTAAGTTTTTATTTTACAAAACATCCATTTTTTAAGAAACGTATTTCAATTATAGGTTTTACATTAAAGTTACGAAAACATTTTTCATTGTTTTTACTTTGTATAAATGTTATGGTGGAGATCAAAAAGTCGAGTGGGAGTGTAGCTGCAATAGCAATTAAGGCTTCCTTACGATCGTTCCGCGCAGACCGCAGAGTACATTCGCAAAAGAACTCTTCAAAGGAAAAATTTTATTGAAATGGCTATGCGACCGCAGGCGGCGCGGCCCCGCCTCCGGGGAAGACGTTGCTTTTCCGCCATTTTCCATTGGTTAGCGAGCGAGAAGGCGGGCCGCTTCTTCAAGTCTTATCCGGGACTAACTTTTCATTTGCACAGCTCTAAAATATTGCTCCAGATTAAAACACTACGGAAGTTCGAGTTGCGGTTACGTTCGAGACGGCTTTTTGTTACCAGCTCGAGTTTATGCGATGCGATAGCCATTGGATTTTTCTTCTGCTTTTAAATATTCTTAAATACGTTTACGAAAAAGGAAATAGAAGCGAAGGGAATGTTCAATATAAGGTTTTTCGTATCATTGGAATCGTTCTTTTAACACCTTTTTTATAGAATTTAGTAACTGATATAAAATCAGTATTTGATGTTAATTTAATTAGGTATATTATTAGTACATTGTATTGACAATCTTGCTAAAATTTTAAATTAAAATAGCAATTTACGGCTTAATAGTCATTAAAGTCTTAAAGAACTAAATTTTACTTACAATAGGTTTCTTTATTTTCCACTTAGCTGGATTACTTCTAAATCGATTAAGCTAAATTACATTCAGATTCGATTGCCGCCATGCACAGCCGCAGTAATAGACAGTGTCCAACTTACAGAAAAATTACATTGTTCTTTGTTACGATACAAACTTAGCCTCCTTTTAATAAATGAGGCAGCAGGTTGCGCAAACGGAGTAACAATAAAAAGCAAATATAGCGTAACACTGGTCAATGATTTTTTGTTCAAATACATTTAAAAATCGCGTCCTATTGGCTATTCAACGTCATCCCTTCAAGGCGTTCGAAGATTGTAGCCTACACTTGGCACGTAGGAATACTTCGCGCCGAATTAAAGATTCAGCGGGCTTTTTTAATAAAACTCGGGGAAATTTGGTTTTGAAACTCTGCAAATTCCGTGACTGTACCAACGTGTCAATTTTAGAATTTCATATACACGATTGAATGTCCTTATGATGAAGGAAAATCTATACATATTGGCCCAGAAATACAACATGAGTGAAGCTTAAAGAGATTCAAAAAAATTTTAAAGGAAGCATAGTTGACACTTCGCTTGAAACATTTTTCACATAATCTCACTAGCGCTACCTGTTCTCCTATAGTCAAAATCACAAACAAACTAATAATTTAAACTTTAAAAAGCATCTCAGCGTGTCAAATTTAACATTGAGATATTACCGTACAAAGAAGTTACCGGTGAAAAAATATTGTTCACTGTGTCTAGTCCATATCTTTCTTAAATGGCTTTGATGAAGCCCGACCGGCATTAGGCCAGCGTGGAGACCTTATCACCACTAACTTGAATATGTTCCGAGCCCCGCAGTGGTGAGTTATAAAAGCTAACGCGATCACCTTATGCAGCCAATAACAGAGAAAAAACTAATACTAAAACGCCTTTTATTTCTGTTACTGCTAACATTAATAATTCTACCTGAAGTCTTAGGAAATATATTTTTGACCAAGTTATTATGTTAAGAGAGTATTAAGTGTTCATCTTATATTTGTTCATTTTATCAATTTATTTAGTAGTGTAATTATACCTGAAAAATGCATAAATATGGGATGATTCTGAAGAAAATAAGAAGGAAGTAAATCAGAAGCAAGTGAGTTCATGACTAAAGCCCGAAAATAATTAAGTGTATAATATACTAGCTGATGCTCGCGACGTCCGCGTGAAATTAAAAAAAAACAATATATAGATTATGGTACTCACTGAAAATGTAGCTTATTTATGGTGAAATATTTTTTTGAATCGGCCAACTAGTTTTTAAGTTATTTCAATACATACAAAAATACAAATTTTTCTTCTTTATAACAGTAGTATTGAAATTGAAATTGAAATTTATTGAAAACAGATTAATAATTAACAATAAGGTACAGATTAGAACGTTAAATTTACAATACTGTTCCAATGCCACGCAAAATATCAAGAGATAAAATGGCAGAGTGCAATACAAGCGAGCTAGGGGATCGGCGTAACTACGTTTGTTAGCGGTGTATTGATGGAACGTTTGATATTCGCATGCTTGTATTAGTCGTTGTTCGGAATGGACACGTAAATAAACGCACGTATACTGCTGATGCTAGTCAAAACTGAACTAAAATCCAATAAAATTTGTTTAACCTTATCATTAACTAGTAGAAAAGTAATTTACAAGCGTTAAGATTAAGGTATAAATTCTGTTTTTACGTGATTCTGTGTAGCATTGTTATACATTTTTTTTTAAATTTCGACAAAACTAAAAAAATCTATCTTAACGATAAATTATTAGCTTTTTGACATATACAAAACATGTACGCGACCACTTTGAAAATATTTGAATAGATTAAAATACATCTGACGTTAATTGCATTTTTGCTTAATTTTTATCAACACTTTGCTTTATAACAATATTTTACGAATGGACCGTTATTGTTTGAGGTGCTAGTTATTAATCGACTTATATAGAAAAAAATCGCAGATTCTTAAGGTAAAACTTTGCCTTGAGATTTAGTTGTACATTTGAACATTAATCTTACTAATATTATAAATGCGAAAGTTTAGATGGATGAATGGATGGATAGATGGATGTTTGTTAGCGTTTGTAGCCTAAACGGCGGAACGGATCTCCATGAAATTTGGCACAGGTTTTGAGCATAGTCTGAAAGAACTCATAGGCTTCTTTTTATCCCGGAAATAGTTACGGTTCCCGTAAGATTCATTAATTTAGTTTTTTAATGTTTACTCGATCATTCTGCAACGGTTCAACATATCCTTTTGAAATTTGACACAGATATAAAACAAATTCTGGAGTACACATGGGATAAGTTTCATCCCCGAGAAATGTCCGGTTCCCGAGGGATACGTAGTTTTTTGTAATTTATATGGTTCGTATGTTTTCTAATACCATGCGGACGAAGTCGCGGGAAACAGCTTGTCTATTAAATAAAAATTGTTAGTAAACACAGAAAGCAAATTATGTGTTTTATTAGGTTCAGTTTAGTTTCTTGTCTATGGCACTTCCTTAGCGGATTGGGCCAGTGTCAAGTAATTTTTATTAGGTTTTCTGGTGAAAGACAACAAAGTACCTTATTTGTTATGACCGCATTCTCAAAATCGTGCTTTATGCGTATGAATATAATTGAATAGAAAAATAGATTTACTCCATAATGGTAACTATTAAATAATAAAGCAGGGTCATTTTTGTAATTAATGATTTCATCTTACATATTATAAATGCGAAAGTTTAGATGGATGGATGGATGTTTGTTAGAGTTTGTAGCCTAAACGGCCGAAGGGATCTCGATGAAATGTGGCGTAGATGTAGAGGATATTCAGAAAGAACACATAGGCTACTTGTGTTTTTTATTCCGCGCGGACGGAGTCGCAGGCGAAAGCTATCATTAATAAATGCAAATCTAAATGTAATTTGAGTTACCGAATTTATTACTTACACACACGGCTTTTGATCCTTATGTGAATTAAAAAAAATGTACTGAAATAAATATTCCGACCCGCGTCGTCTTAGCGAAGGAAAGTTGTTAAGAAAAGGGCGAGATGTAAACCGGATGTCCGTAATCCGCCCTCCCTCTATTTGACATTCACCCGAGTTTCTTAAGTTGCCCGGAAAAAGTTTTCAAATACTTTTCAATGTCACGGACTTCTTAACTTTAAAACTTTTTGAACAACGTTTGAATACGGCTTTAAAATTAAATGGTATTTGCGTTTTTACTTTTTAATAATGCAAATGCAACAATGTAATTTTGTAAGGAAAATGTAGATTTTTTTAATAATATCTGAGTAGTTACACAACATTGTTTAACTTGTGTTCGTATATTTTGTGTTACAACTTTGTAAAATATACTAAACTGAACACGTTTTCGATTTCATTATTCATCATAATTTCTCATTCTGATCTGTTTGTTAAAAAAGAGAATCTTTAAATTTTGCTTAGTTTTTCCATTATCTAGTAACTATTTTATGTACAAAAGTAATGTGGCTCATAAATTTTCAAATGCCTTAAAAGCGCATATAAAAGCTTTCAATCCAATATATTGCTGTTATGATGATTGTTTATAATAATATTTAATGTGTAACAATAACTGCACCTTCAGCACTCACCGCGACCACTGCGGCCGACGAATCTAAGGTCATTGAACTTTGCCACTTGGTTCTTCATCACCGCCGAGCTGTTTCGAAGCTCCGCGCAGCAGTTCTCATCGTTGCCGGCGCGGACGGTCACCAAGGTGCCGTCGCCTACGTCGCCCAGAGCGACCACTTTGAAAGCCACGGGCAATGTCTTGTTTGAACGCCAGTGCGGCGGCAGCACCGTGCACACAAAGTGCGGGCTGCCCGTGCGCACCAGCTCTCCCGGATGCTCCGACAGGAAGTCGC